AGGAAAACTCTCTCTTCTTTGTTTCTTTCTTTATGTTAGTATGGACAGATGGATTATTTTATTTCATTACTTAAAATTTATTATTATAAATCTTTTATGAAATTGTCCCAAATTTGGTCAGTGGAAATTTCTTTAAGCTGGTTTTTGTGTCCTTTTGACATGAACCTATCATTCTTTGATACCTCCATACTTTCTGATACAAAACAATGGTCCAAGCTGCTTTCCCTTCTCCAGTCTTGGAAGCAGCCATTTATTTCCTCAAGGAGCCCTACTTCCTTTAATGAAGAATGTTGGAGAGAAACAGCTTCTGCATGTTAGGCATGCTCATTTTTATTTAAGAATTGTTATTCTCAGACAGTGTTGGGAAATATGTACTGTGTATGTACACGCATTTTAACTACATTTCCACATTGAAAATTGCCAGTTTGGATACAACTGAAATCCAGTACCACAGGTTTTTTGTTTTGTGTTGTTTTGTTTTTGTTTTTGGTGTTTTGCTTTGTTTTGTTTTGTTTTTTTGAGATGGAGTCTCACACTGGAGTGCAATGGTGAGATCTCAGCTCACTGCAACCTCTGCCTCCTGGGTTCAAGCTATTTTCCTGCCTTAGCCTCCTGAGTAGCTAAGATTACAGGTGCCCACCACCATGCCTGGCTAATTTTTGTATTTTTAATAAAGACGTGGTTTCACCATGTTGGCCAGGCTGGTCTCGAACTCCTGACCCCAGGTGATCCACCCGCCTCAGCCTCCCAAAGTGCTGGGTTTACAGGTATGAGCCACCACACCTGGCCTCAAGTTTTATATAATAGTTTCTCTTTCTATATTTGTAAGTTCTACCTCAGAGAGTGAGAATTACAGCTGTCATAATCTTAAATTAATTTTTTTGTTCAGTCCTCTCAAATGCTATGAATCTACCATTGTCACCACTGTCCCTCTTTCCCAATGTCCCTCTTCTCCCATGTTGAACCATTGCAAACATCACTTCCTTCCTCTCCTAGTGCTCTTCCCACCCTGCTCTGTCTCCAGCTTCCTGCACCAGGCTGAGGCCACCAGCACCCACAGCACACCCTCCTCACACTATTCCAAACCCTGTGCTGTCAAGATAATATTCTCATTCAAAAAAAAAAAAAAAAAAAGCCAAGGGATTCTAAATCACTTTTATGGGCTCAGGTTCTCCAAGAAGCAGGTGTTGAGAGTGGATAATATAAAAGGATTTTATTCAAGGAAATGTCCATATGAAACAAAATAGGGAAAGAACCAGACAAGCCTGGGGAAACTGTCCCAGTACAAACAAACCTAACTCCAAGTGGAAAAAAAGAAGACCAGAGAGGTGCATAGAAAGAAAGTTTGACAAGAGTTTAGGGGTCCTCAAGTTAAAGCAGGCTACCTGAAGTGTCTCATGGCTCCCACAAATCTTTCTGCTTCAGTATCCATCCCTGTCATCCTCAATCATTGGGTGGAACAGCTTGTGGGAAGCATGGGATGGGGCAAAAGAGTACAACGCGGGCGAGGCCTCTCAGCAATTACATTCCCTGAGGTTGGAGGAGTGTCATCTACATTCCTGTAGCTGTCCAAAACTAATATTATTTTCCCTGATTATGGGTGCTTAATATTATAACTCAGAATAAAGTCAGTACCACATTAAAATAAACCTTATGTAAATAACACTTGAGGTATAATAAATAAGAAATGACTTTCCAAACCACTGGCCCTTTATTTTTTCATCACAACTCAGAAACAAAGACGGCACTACATTAAACTATGCCCTTTTCACATAAAGAAGATTTTTATTTATCAAATCGCTAGACTGTTAGTCTGATGTTACAAGATGATGCTGAACATGGTAAATGTGCAGGTGTTTCTAAAATGAATGATTTTTGGGGGGCAAGTGTATCTCTTATTTGTGGTCCATAGCATTTGAGAAATTTGATTTTTTACCTAGCATGTTTGTGCTGCTTTATGATGTATCCAACTTTCTCAAATAAACAGATATACATAACAGGTAGATTGTTCACATTTTGGGAAATGCTAGATAGAAGTGTGGAAGTCATAGCAATAGAGAGCTATTTTACATTACAGAGCTTTACTGAGCAGTTGTAGACATAACTCCTGCCCTTAGAGCTACAATTCAGCATTTTATACTCTCCTGGATATTACCTTTGAATTTAATTCTAACATTTTAGCATCAATTTGAGTGGAGGCCATATGGTTAAGCTTCATAAACTCAGCTTAAATTTAGCATAATTCTGAAAAGCCCTGTGGCCTCTAAATACACAAAAATGTTGTACATTGAATATAGCAAGAAATTTTAGATATAGATGTAAAACTAGACACCTGCAGCAAATAAATATGTGAAAAAATAAGACACTTATAATGGTTTTTTGATGGAAGTTTTGAAATCTAATTTTCACAAATATCTCTGAAATTTAGGTTAGATCTAAAGAAATGGGAGAAATACACAAGAGGAACGAATTAGAGAAGAAACTAAAAATGATCCAAGCACTTTTGATATAATAAAGGAGTTCAACTCTTTATAAAACATTTATGGTTTAACAGGAGATGTGGTGGCTCAGGCCAGTTGTCCAGGCACTTAAGGAGGCGAGGCTATGCGTTCGAAGCCAGCCTGGGCAACATTAAAAATCTCTCATCCCTTTAAAAAAAGCAAACAAAGAAAACGTTTAAGGTTTACAACAATAAATTATAAAAAAGCCCAGGGATTCCAAATCACTTATATGATCTCAGGTCCGCCTATAATTATTTATATTTAACATTTGACACATAATGTTGAAGGCCTACTATGTGGCAGACACTGTCTTTACATGTGCTGTTCAGAATGGCAACCTCTAGTCACGTGTCTAGGAAATACTTGAAATATGACTGGTTCACACGAGGATGTACTTTAAGTGTGAAATACCCAATTTCAAAGATATAGAATGAAAAAAATCTTACTAATAATTTACACTTATATCTTAAAAATGATAATATTTTGAATATAATTGGGTTAAATAAAATATATAATGGATATTAATTTCACCTACTTCTTTGTGCTTTCCTAATGTGGACACTAGATAATTTGAAACAATATAAATATACATTTTATTGTATTTCCATTGGGAAAAATTGTGAAAAGTACTATTGTAGTAGATATTTATGATTTTGGTCAAATACATCTATCTTTTCATCTTCCTTGGTACCTGGTAGGACAGCACAGCCTCACTCACTTTGAAGTGAAATGTGGCCACCAGGCTTCCTTTAACCAAAGAAGCATGAGAAGTGTTACTTCCCTATAACAGAGCTTTAAAAACCAGCGTGCTGGGGCCGGGCGCGGTGGCTCAAGCTTGTAATCCCAGCACTTTGGGAGGCCGAGGTGGGTGGATCACGAGGTCAACAGATCTCTACTGAAAATATAAAAAATTAGCTGGGCATGGTGGTGCGTGCCTGTAATCCCAGCTATTCAGGAGGCTGAGGCAGGAGAATTGCCTGAACCCAGGAGGCGGAGGTTGCAGTGAGCCGAGATCGCGCCATTGCACTCCAGCCTGGGTAACAAGAGAGAAACTCCGTCTCAAAAAAAAAAAAAAAAAAAAAAAACCAGTGTGCTATTTACTGTTAGCTGCTGTTACCACCGAAACAGATGTTGCAAAGAGGCCACCATCTTCCTGGCTGCCAAGTGACTAACATTAGAGCCCTTCCATATGCATTGTGGGTATGTAGCTTGAGGCAGATATAAACTTTTAATGAAAAATTCTCCAAAAATGTCCAACAGAAAACAATCAGCCAAAAGTAATTATTTATTATTTATTTATTTATTTATTTATTTATTTATTTGAGACGGAGTTTCGCTCTTGTCACCCAGGCTGGAGTGCAATGGCGCAATCTCGGCTCACCGCAACCTCCGCCTCCTGGGTTCAGGCAATTCTCCTGCCTCAGCCTCCCGAGTAGCTGGGGTTACAGGCACGCGCCACCGTGCCCAGCTAATTTTTTGTATTTTTAGTAGAAACGGGGTTTCACCATGTTGACCAGGATGGTCTCGATCTCTTGATCTCGTGATCCACCCGCCTCGGCCTCCCAAAGTGCTGGGATTACAGGCGTGAGCCACCGCGCCCGGCCAAAAAGTAATTATTTAAAGCAAAAAGTAATTATTTAAAAATGATCGTACACCTTGTGTCAAGATCATGGTCTCTCACGCCATTCTCCAATTTCTCTTTGAAGAAATGACTGATTCTATGGTTGGTGCAGAGTCTAGCTCATCTTGTAGTGCCAGAAAGTAAGGAAGTGTGCAAAAGACTAAACAATATATGTTGAAAGGACACAGAAGCCAATTGAAAGAGCTCTGAATGGCCAAATTTGGAACAATTGGAGCAAAAGATAGAATAAAATAACATAACATAGCACTTCATTATATTTCTAAATATAAAATAAATATCCATGGGTGTATACTGATAAAAATCAATTATTTAATATATAAATAAATTGAAGATGAAAGACAGATTTCCTCAACAGAAAAATTTTAAATCATTTATTTAGACACTACTCTCTACCTGAGAAGGTGAAACTTAACTGCCCATCCTGTAAGTGTGGTCTTAGTGACTCGTTTCCAAATAGCACAGTAGGGAGAGACAAGTGGTGGGAACAGGTGACTTCACAGTGGAGAAGCCTGGCAATACTACCTCTTCCAGGTGACCAATTTTGAAGTCATCAGTGACAAGTCATGTAGACCACACATACTGTTGATATATAATGTAGAGAGTGGCACAAAATCTCTGTCGTTTTCCTCCCAAAACCATAACCCACTGATATGGTTTGGCTGTGTCCCCACCCAAATCCCATCTTGAATTGTAACTCCCACAATTCCCATGTGTCATAGGAGAAACCAAGTGGGAGGTGTTTTAATTATTGGGGTGGGTCTTTCCTGCACTATTCTCATGATAGTGAATGAGTCTCATGATATCTGATGGTTTTACAAATGGGAGTTTCCCTGAACTAGCTCTCTCTTTGCCTGCAGCCATCCACATAAGATGTGACTTGGTCCTCTTTGCCTTCCGTCATGATTGTGAGGCCTCCCTAGCCATGTGGAACTGTAAGTCCATGAAACTTCTTTTTCATCCCAGTCTAGGGGATGTCTTTATCAGCAGCATGAAATGAACTAATAGACCCACCGACCTGAAAAAACATCAGACAAAACCAGATTTAGGAACACTGTACAAAATACCTGGCCAGTAGTCCCCAAAACTGTCAAGGTCGTGAATAAACAAAGAAAGTCTGAAAAAGGGGCATAGCCCAGAGGAGCCTAAGAAACTACAACAGCTAAATGTAACCTGTTGTCTTATACAGGATGTGGAAACAGAAAAAGCCCACTAAAAAAAACTAATAAAATTTAAATAAAGCTCAGTTAATAAGTAATATGGCAATACTGGTTTGTGAGTTGTGACCAATATGCTATAGTAACATAAAACATTAATGAGGGAAACTGAATGTGGTGTGTATGTGAATTCTCTGTGCTGTCTTTGAAAGTTTTCAGTAATTATAAAACCATTTTTAAAATGAACATTTTATTTAGATTTTTAAGATATTGTAGCTTCTTTAAAAATATTCTTATTCCTTTACTGAGAGATAGCTAAGCCAAGATTCAAGTCTTTAATTCTCTGGATAACCTCCTAAAGACTTTTCCTGACCTCAAGAGTGCAGTTGCATCAATTAAAGAAGTTTTCTTCACAATGACATGATAAGAGCCTTCACTCTGGTGAAATATTATGTGATCATATTAACATTGGTTGTTTTTCTGTTTAGATTTGAAAATCACTGAGATACTGAGTTATAAGAAATAAGATTCAAAAGTAAAATTAGTAAAAAGTAAACATATTTATTTGTGTTTGTTACTCATACTCCTTCAGTTGGACTTATCCCTTCAGCTATGAGTAATCTTGGATCTCATCAAATTTGAATAAGAAATTTGGCTTTTTCTACATAGAAAAATTAGTTTCAATTTCTGCCTCTGGGAATCAATTGGATGATGAAAATGGCTCCACACAAAAACATTAATTAGTATAAACATAGATAGAGTGTGGAGGACATGAATGGAAATTATGTTACAGACTTAGTATCATATATATATATATTTGAATCCATAGCCATTATCTACTTGATGTTAGCCAAAGGCTGAGAAGCAATTCCATAGCCATCCTCAAGTACCAAATTCAAATTTCAATCTAGTAATCTTTGAATGATGGCCCACCATTTTTCCTTCTTTGTCCAATTGTCTTCTTCCTCTCTTTTTCTCAAATGTTGGTCTTTCTTTTTTCTCATATTTATCCATGTCCTGGAAAAAACCTGAAGATGGGATGTTTTCAATGAAATCAGAGTGCCAACTGCTCAGTGGAATGGGATGGGATATGAAACCTAACCTGACCTCCTAATGTATTGCAAGGCCAATTCATTGATGGCAAAACTCCGCTGTGTACTCTCACAGCTGCAGAGTCATTGAAGACCTATAGGCCCAACTGTTAAACATATTCAATTGAAATCCTTTATAAATAGACCAAGAATGTATAAGAAAATGGGGATATTACTCTGCAATTTTTTTAATCCATCCAGTTCTCCTTCCCCTTGCTTTTCTTGATTAGCCTCAGAAAATTTTTTCATTCTTTACATTTTCCCTTTCTTTAAAATCAGTATTCCTTACTTTATCTTTGATTCTACATTTATTTTCCTTTACAATATAATGCAAACACAAAACACGTGCGCGTGCGTGCGCGCACACACACACACACACACACACACTTTAAAGGTATAACTAAGATTATTTTCCCTGTGAAAAGTTTGTTTTACTAAACTATGTACTAACCTCTGTGTAAAATGTCTTTTAAAATGCTATTTTATATAGAGTTAAGTAAGCATTCAGTGTTGGACTAAAATTTATAGAAATTATATAAGTGCTACTTGCTTCCAGGTAAGCGTTCTTAAATTAAAATCATCTCATCAAATAGAGCTCTCTGAAGATATGTTAACAATGTCCATTTAAAAAATTACAGGGGATTCAAATTGTCGTTATCATCATAAAGGTTCAAATGAGAAGTTAGATCTTTTTTAAAGCAAGTCACTAGAAAGAAAAACAAAACTGCTGGCCATTTATCTAACATCTACTCTTTCTCATAAAATTGAAGTGATTCATCCAGATAGAAGTTCAGACCCAAGTCATTCTTCTTGTTTGGAAATAAGCAGAATACATTCCCCACAGATATTACTCAGACATAAATTATGGACTAATGATTGTATGTCAGCACTTTCTGCATTTCACTTTATAGCTGCCCACCCCTCTGTTCTGCATAAATGTATGGGTCATCGATTACTTTCCAAATGTGCCATAATCACATATTTATGCTATTGTATTGTATAGGATGGAAGATACAGAAAATTGTAAGATGCAACTTCCATCCATCATGATATTGTACATAATTCATTATACTATTATCTTATTTAAAAAAAAAAACACTTGGCATCACAAAGTTAAGGCATGCAGGTTTGAAATAGTAAATTCTATAATAATGTTTATCATTGGAACTCTTAACAGCTCCCACCCACCTATATCTACCTAAAAGCATCACATTAAACAAAAGATACTGAGGAAATATTCAAATGTATGGCTCAGCTATCTTAGTCTTTGATGCACTCCACTTTTAATCTTGAAGTGGTGATGAGAAGCAAGGCCCCTGGAGTTTGCCTGGTTCTTTCTCATAGGAAGTTTTGTGAGCTCAAACACATTATTTAAACTTAAACTCACTCCCAAGTACGTTTCATCATCTAGAAAATTGTGTTAACAATAGCATTTATACTACTGTTGTGAAGTTTAAAATAAATCAATTAGATTGTATAGTGTTTGGGATATAGTAAGTCTCTAATAAACATTAGCTATTATTATTACTGACCCAGTCGTTAACTGCTTCCTTGGACTCAGGAACCAACCCTGACATGAGATTTCATCATGCTCCTACAGCCAGATGTGCCTTAGCACAGCAACAAGCAAACCTTTGTCACTATGTTCTGGTAAATAGAGATATAGAAGTTCGGAGGAAGGATAAATTACTTTTCCAATCTAGGAAATTCCGATATCTTCACAGCACTGCAGAATTTGCTACTTTCTAACAAAACACATAATTACATATAAATTCTATTTATAATGCTTGATTCAATTTATACAAAATAGACTTTCTTCAGCTACAGGTTAAAATGACCCTGTGCTACATTGGTCCATGACTCCTTCTATAGAAATAATTCTGACATATGACTCACTTTGTTTCATTTTGTTCTTTATATCAGTAACTCACTTTAAACATTACATTTAGTTAACTCTTTGCTGTAAGAGCTTTATCATGGCATTTGTATAAGGGTCACCTCAAATTCTAATCCAAGAATAAGTGACATAGAAGATGGGAAATCTGAATTGTAGGAATTCTTATCTTTTTAAGCAGAGCTATTGTCAGTCAGCCAATTGTGCATACAAATATCAGAGTACTTGTCTATTTGTAAATAATTTAAGCTCTTCTAACATCTAATTACAGAAAAGCTGCATAGAGGAGAACAGCCTCAGATGAGACAGCAGTGGTTTGGCTTCAAGTGACAAGGATAATTTACATCAGTTTACAAATTAACTATCAGTATGATAAACATGAAGCCAGTCAGTCTGCAACATGGGATATTATTAAATAACTGTCATCTTGTAATATGTTTAAATTGGTTAATTTGTTTCAATTCATTAATTTTTAAATTAATCAGTTCTATATGTTCTTTTGAAAAAAAATCTGTAAGGATTTTCCTGCAGCTCAACATTGCCCTCCTATGGATTAAAAGCCATCATGTGGTATTTCAAAGTTTATAAAATAAATAGGAAAATTTTACTCCTATGGCATAGGTTTTAAAAGATGAATTAGCTCTCAGAATTCCAAATAGCACACAAAACTGTACCCAGCATCCCTAACATGACCATATCATATTTGATTTTCTCCTTCCATAGATTAGTTCTGCCTTGAAGACAGTTCACAACCTCAGACTACCCTTTGGTCTTGTGAGCCACAGTCATTACAGAAAAATGATCAACATCATGATGTGTCCATGGTTATTTCATTGAGTCTGGCCAATACTTAACATTTCAAGGTACTTACTTGGCATTGAATATTATCTAAGTTAAAAATTTACAAAGCCTACTAGATATTTGGGAGTTACATTGAGTTTAGAAATAAAGGAAATTATCCATTCATTAAGAGAAGAATATAAGTGTTTGTCAGTCTTATAGTTGAGGCTGCCAGATAGAAATAAGCCAAATTCTGCTGGACCTCATGACAGAACTTGTGTTAAGTGATAGTCAAGCAGTTGGAGAAAGTAGGAATAACTGGTGATTCTTAATATTCTATTTTTCCAGCTAGATTAAGTCAAAAGAAAATGAAAAGAGGTTGGGAAGTTAAGATTTTAAGCTATTTGAGAATTTCACTGTAGTTTTTGAAATGACCATATTAAGAAAATGTGTTGTGTTTTGGCAAATGTGGTAAAAAAATAAGTGACCCAATAGCAGTCATTTTCATGCAATGTGTATTAAAAGAATATTCTTTAATCATTATAAAATAAATTGCAATTAAGTCTGGGATAAGTTATTATAACCTCTCTGAGTCTCAGTTTCCTCATCTGGAAAACAGTATTATTATTCCTATTTTGCAAGTTTGAGCATGTGGATGAGAACTAACACAGGCAAAGTCCCTCACTTAGTATATCTTGGAAGAGAGTGGTGGCTCTACAAAGGGTGGATGATTAACAAACAATCCATAATTATCAGTGTAGATTTTAGAGTATGACATGCCCTTTCACATCTATTACTTAATTTCATTTTTAAAAATATAGTACCATTATTGGGGTTACTTCTTCGTAGTGTGGCATTCCTGGAGTTGTCAAAGTAAAGAAGAAAGAAACCAATCTAGCTTGGAAAATTTTAAGGAACTTAATAATTGTAGGAAACAAATTAAATATCTCAAGGCCAACTTCCAAGAGCAGAAACTTTCACCAAGGTTTTATGATAAAAATCCACATCCGTAATTGAAGATAATTTCACTTGTCTCCCACTTCAGTTCCTTCTAATCACCATTTTAGAGATCTGCACTTTAAAAAGGTTGAGATAGACATTTATGTAAGAAGCTGGTGACGTGATTCTAAGAACTTCATTACAGGTCAAAGTGTTTGTTCTTAGGGATGTTTTCTGGAAATCTTATATTTCTCCTGTGGATTCTTATATGCTTGGATATACAGCTCCAGGCCTTCTTTGGGTTTGCCAGGTTTCATTCACTTGACCCCCAAATGCATTGCTTATATCATATCTATCTTCTTCAAGATCAAGTGAAGATGGGGAAAGTATTTCAATTATTTAATTATTTTCCAATCGCAGAAAAGAAACAAGCAAGTCTTCTGGGGCAGAAGTGAATACATCATGTTAACTGCAGCATTTACCATAGATAAATTAAAAGTATTCGTGGGTAGTATTAACATCTTAATGGAAACTGTCTGAGAAAACAGAAAGGGAATGTAAGCCAAATTATGAGATGGTCTGATATAATAAAAGTTAATTTTGATGAATCATAAGGCACTGTTCTAAGTCCTTCACATGAATTAACACATTTATTTGTGTTTCATTTTGTTTTGTTTTCTTTAAGTTCCAGGGTATATGTGTAGGATATGCAGGCTTGTTGCATAAGTAAATGTGTGCTGTGGTGGTTTGCTGCACAGATCAGCTCATCACCTAAGTATTAAGCCCATCAACCATTAGCTATTCTCCCTTCCCCCAGGCCCCTGACAGGCACCAGCGTGTGTTGCTCCCACCAATGTGTCCATGTATTCTCATCATTCAGCTCCCACTTATAAGTGGAACATGCGATGTTTGGTTTTCTGTTCTTGCATTTGTTTGCTGAGCATAATAGCTTCCAGCTTAATCCACATCCCTGCAAAGGACATGATCTTGTTTTTTTGTTTGTTTGTTTTTGTTTTTATGGCTGTATAATATGAATGGTATATATGTACCGTATTTTATTCATCTAGTCTGTTATTGATGAGCATTTGGGTTGATTCCATGTCTCTGCTATTGTAAATAGTGCTTCAATGAACAGACATGTACATGTATCTTTATAATGGAATGATTCATATTTCTTTGTGTATACACCCAGTAATGAGATTGCTGGGTCAAATGCTATTTCTGCCTCTAGGTCTTTGAGGAATCGCCACACTGTCTTCCCCAAGGGTTGAGCTAACTTACAATTCCAACATTGCCTTCTTGACTTTTTAATAATCACCATTCTGACTGTTATGAGATGGTTATCTCATTATGGTTTTGATTTGCATTTATCTAATGATCAGTGATATTGAGCTTTATTTCATATGCTTGTGGTCACATGAATGTCTTCTTTTGAGAAGTGTCTGCTCATGTCCTTTGCCCACTTTTTAATGGGGTTGTTTTATTCTTGTAAATTTGTTTAGACTCTGGATTGTCAGATGGATAGATTGCAAAAATTTTCCCCCATTTTGTAGGTTGCCTATTCACCCTGATGATAGTTTCTTTTGCTGTGCAGAAGCTCTTTAGCTTAATTAGATTTTATTATCAATTTTTGCTTATATTGCAATTACTTTTGGTGTTTTTGTCATGAAATATTTGCCTGTGCCTATGTTTAGAATGGTATTGCCTAGATTTTCTTCTAGGATTTTTACAGTTTTGGGTTTTACATTTAAATTTTTGATTCATCTTGAGTTAATTTTTGTACAAGGTGTGAGAAGGGGTAAAGTTTCAGTTTTCTGCATATGGCTAGCCAATTTTCCCAACATCATTTATTAAATAGGAAATACTTTTCCCATTGCTTGTTTTTGTCAGGTTTATGGAAGAACAGATGGTTTTAAGTGTGCAGAGTTTTCTGTTCTGTTCCATTGGTCAATGTGTCTGTTTTTGCACCAGAACATGCTGTTTTGGTTACTGCAGCCTTGTAGTATAGTTGGAAGTCTGGTAGCATGATGCTTCCAGCTTTGTTCTTTTTGCTCAGGATTATCTTGGCTATACAGGTTCTATTTTTGTTCCATATAAATTTTAAAATAATTTTTTCTAATTATATGAAGAATGTCAATGGTACTTTATTGGGAATAGCACTGAATCTATAAATTACTTCGGACAATATGGCCATTTTCATGATATTGATTCTGAGTGTGAAATTTTTTCTCATTTGCTTGAGACCTCTCTAATTTCCTTGGCAGTGGTTTGTAGTTCTCCTTGAAGAAGTCCTTCACTTCCCTTGTTATCTGCATTCCTAGGTATTTTATTTTCTTTGTAGCCATTGTGAATAACAGTTTATTCATGATTTGGCTTGCTGCTTGCCTGTTGTTGATATATAGGAAGTTAGTGATTTTTGCACACTGATTTTGTATCCTCAAACTTTGCTGAAGTTGCTTCTCAGCTTAAGAAGTTTTGGGGCTGAGATGATGGGGTTTTCTAGATATAGGATCATGTCATCTGCAAACAAAGATAATTTGACTTCCTCTCTTCCTATCTGAATTCTCTTCTCTGATTGCTCTGGCCAGAACATCCGATACTGTGTCGAATAGGAGTGGGGAGAGAGGGCATCTATGTCTTGTGCCGGTTTTCAAGGGAAATGTTTCCAAATTTTGCCCATTCAGTATGATATTGCCTGTGGATTTGTCATATATGTCTCTTTTTAAGGTATGTTGCTTCAACACCTAGTTTGCTGAGAGTTTTTAACATGAAAGGATGTTGAATTTTATCAAATGACTCCTCTGTGTATACTGAGATAATTATATATTTTTTGTCTTTAGTTCTGTTAATGTGATGAATTACATTATTGATTTGTGTATGTTGTGTTAACCTTGCATCACAGGGAAGAGCCAAATTGATTGTCATGAATAAGCTTTTTGATGTGCTGCTGGATTTGGTTTGCCAGTATTTTATTGAAGATTTTTACATAAATGTTCATCAGGGATATTGGGCCAAAGTTTTCTTTTTTTTGTTGTATCTCTGCAAGGATTTGGTATCAGGATGATGCTGGCCTCATAGAATCAGTTAGGGAAGAATCCCTCCTTTTTGTTTGTTTAGAATAGTTTCAGTGGAAATGGTACCAGCTCTTCTTCCTACCTCTGGTAGAATTCAGCTGTAAAATTGTATGGTCTTGAGCATTTTTTGGTTGGTAGCCTATTTTTTAACTGCCTCAATTTCAGAACTCGTTATTGGTCTATTCCGGGATTCAATTTCTTCCTGGTTTAATCTTGGGAGAGTGTATTTGTCCAGGAATTTACCCATTTCTTCTAGATTTTCTAGTTTTTGTGCATTACAGTTGTTTATAGCATTCTCAATGGTTGTTTGTATTTCTGTGACATCAGTAGTGCTATCCCCCTTTTCATTTCTAATTGTGTCTGTTTTTTTCTTCTCTCTTTTCTTCTTTATTAGCCTAGCTAGTGGTCTCTTATATTAATATCTTTCCATAATACAGCTCTTGGATTCATTCATCTTTTGAAGAGTTTTTCATCTCTCTCTCTCTCCTTCAGTTCCACTCTAATCTTGGTTATTTCTTGTCTTCTGCTAGCTTTGTGGTTTGTTTGCTCTTAGTTTTCTAGTTCTTTTAATTGAAATGTTAGGTTGTTGATTTGAGATCTTTCTAACTTTTTGATGTGAGCATTTAATGCTATAAGTTTCTCTCTTATCACTGCTTTAGCTGTGTCCCAGAGATTCTGGCAGATTATCTTTTTGTTCTCAGTTTCAAAGAACTTCCTGACTTCTGCCTTAATTTCGTCATTTACTCAGAATTCATTCAAGCACAGGTTATTAAGTTTTCATGTAGTTGTGTGGTTTTGCATGAACTTCTTAATCTTGAGTTCTAATATGATTATGCTGCAGTCTGAGACTGCTTGTTTTAATTTGAGTGGTTTTATATTTGCTGAGGATCATTTTATTACAAATTATGTGATCAATTTTAGAGTAAGTGGCATGTGATGATGAGAAGAATGTATATTCTGCGGTTTCGCGTGGTCTGCTTTATTTAGAGCTGAGTTCAGGTCTTGAATATCTTTGTAATTTTCTGTCTTGATAATCTATCTAATATTGTCAGTGGGGTGAAATTAACACATTTGATCATTACAGCAAACCTATGAAATATAAATGTAACATTATCCATATTTTACAAGTTAGAAAGCTGAAACCCAAAAAGGATAGGTTCCTTACTCAAGATTACACATTTCACAAGTGACTGACCATATTAAAACAAAAACTGAAGCCAATATTCAAATCAACGGCATCTGGTTCTAGAACCTGGGCTCATATTACTTCATGATAGTACCTTTCCAAATTATTAAAAATACTTGTGGATTCTTTTTTCTCTTGACACATCACAAATTAAATATCTTTGTACCAGTTGGGAGACAACTATTTAATTTAGCTCTCTGTAAAAGGTAAAGCTAAAAGTCAATATAATTATACTTGCAACTTATCAGGAAATGATCCAATGAAAAATAACATCTTCTGCTTTGGGGAGAGAGGCTTGTAAAACGGTTTTGTTTTTGTTTTCTATTTTTTTTTTCCGAAGGGTAGAATCTGCATGAGAGCAAAATGGAAGTCCCGATTCTGATTGCAAACCAGAATTGCTGTAGACAGGCTTACATCATTCCAGATTAAATGCTGCCTGGAGACCCACATCTACTCTGTTATCTCTTTGAGCTATGAAAACGTAACCTTTTCCCACTCAGCCATGGCGTGCGGGAGCCACTATCAGCACCTACAGAAATCAACACTTGTGCCAAGGAAAAGAATGTCTGCACCCTAAAATTAACCTACGCTAAGATCAAAGTAGAAACAATAAGATCAGCATCAATCTTGCCTTTTTCTTTATAACACTCAAATAGGCCTCTTTTCTTTTGCAGAAAATTGGCTTTTTTTTTTCTTAATGCAAGTCCTATGCATTAAAATAAAGAGCAACATAGAAAATAGTAATTTATCTGACAATGGGAAATGGTTGATTTTTATAATGCTTCAAAGGATCACCATTCAGAAACAAAGGAGTCAGTCAGTTACAGAATGTGAGTCTAGATGCAATTAAACAAAATAAGAGCTCCCATAAGATTCTCAGCCCCAAACACTAAGAAAATCTTTTCATCATAGTCTCTCAGATTCCTTCCATAAGGTGTATTTGAAAAATATTAACAGAAAACTTCTTACCTTCAGCAACACATTTTGTAATTCAGTTGCACTTAAATCTATAATGTTATAAAGGGCATTGTTTGGTTTAAAAAAATGTTAAAACAAGTTAAATATCCCTTTGACACTGAGCTTAATACAAAAAACTGTATGAAAACAGGCTCCATGTAAATGTTTTCTTTTTTTCCTTTTTGTCCTCTGTCATAAGGGAGATGAGAAGGCAAAATGGATCGAGTGGAGGTAGACAGGCCACAGGCATGGAGAAGTGGAGCTGTGTAGGAGTAAAAGGAAGGAAAATAGGAAAAGGAAGTAGAGCAAGTGCACTGAGATAAAAACCGGGGGAGGATGTACAGTAATACATGGGAAGTGGAGTAAGGAAGAAAGAAAATCCTATTGATCTCTTCATTTCTTTTTCCTAATGGTTTAGGAGATCATTTTAGGACTTATGAGAGCTGGAGTTGGTTAAATTTTCAAGCAATGGAATTGTGAGTTTTAAAATTGCAAACGTTGGCAGTTAAAAAGAAGAACCAGTTTTAAAGAAGGGCAGAAGGCCAGTTTTTTTTTTTAAGTACATCATCTGGTTATGAGGATATGATAGTTAAAAGGGAAAGCCAGCATTTCCAAAGAAGGGTGCAGAAAGATACATGGTATAGAAAGTCTGCCACCTACAAGGAAAATCTGGAGAATAAATAATTTCTGGGTATGTTAATTAAGTCTGGTCTTGTTCTAAGGTTTTCCAGCTAATTTGCCAGGCTGCTGAAATGGTAATATGAATAAGATGTAATTATTGGTTTTCCCACTGAGAATTACAGGCTTATTGAGATGAAAGGAAGGCATCATAATGATCACAAAGCTTAAAATCCTTTAAGTCACAAACCTAAGTGCTTACTGAGGTCAGAGACATGAATGCTTAAGGGGACCCAGTGGGTACTGTGGCAATCAAGAGAGTTTCTGCCCCATGTAAAAGGACAGCACCACTGAGTTTTCGTTGCTTTGCCATGTGGGCACCCATGCTCTGAATAGGCAGATATAATTTCGCATGAGGGGCTGGTTTAATGTTCAAGATTATTTGACTTGAAGCAAGAAGAAAGGAAAAAAGGAAGGAAGTGCAAGTGTTATGTGACTCAAATAAATCACATCTATGGGGTACCAGAGCTCTGATTCCATACATTTTGGAAATGAGAAGCTTGGCTCAGGAAAAGAAAGGAGCTTGGCCAAGGTCATACAGCTAGTTAGTGGTAGAGCCAAGAACATGTTAGGAGGCAGGTTTCCTCATTCCCAGATCAGTTGCCTGCCTGGCTTGTGTAGATTCTGATGTACTCACAGACACACTCATTTCTTACTTTTCTCCAGAGTTTGGCAGTGGCCTTGCTTGTGTGCTTCCCTCTCCTTAACAGCTTGGTTGAAAGGTCTCCAATAAACCAATGTTGCTCTGGTCCATTAAGTAAATCTTTTCTCTATCTGGGAAGCAAATTGGAAAAGAAGGTTAAGCACACTGGTGTTTCCTAGAGGTTCTAAGAGTTGGAGCCAGTGCAACTAAAATCTTTACCGTGCCTGTGCCTTATGTTTTGAAATGTCTTTTCTTTCCATTTAAACATTTCCAAAGTGTTGGTCCTGCACTGAATCTAAAAGCAGCTCTAAAAACAGAAGTATTAAAGATTTTTCTTTTTATTAAAAGTACTGTGACTCAACTCGTTTAAGTAAAATTTAGAATCAAAGATGCCCTGAAAGTAGCAAAGTTCTAAATAATCAGAAGCATGAAGATGCTGCATAAAATGATTATTAAAGGTAAAAGGGACAGAAAGATTATTAAACATTAGAGGAAAAAGTCGTATGCCAGGAATAAAGAAGGACAGTAACACTATTAAGGAGTCACATCATTTTATTAAACAATCATACACCCCTTAAAGACATTTCAGTCAACCAAAGATTGCATATACATGGTGGTCTCATAAGATTACAATGGAACTGAAAAACTTCTATTGCCTAGTGACTTCGTATCCATGGTAACAGCATATGGCAACACATTACTCACATATTTGTGATGATGCTGGTTTAAGCAAACCTACTACTCTGCCAGTCATTTAAAGTGTAACACATATAACAGGTACAGTACATGATACCTGATGATGATAATAAATGAGTGTTACTGGTTTATGTATTTACTATCCTATATTTTATCATTATTTTAGAGTGTACTCCTTTTACTTAGTAAAAAAAAATAATGATAATAACTATAAAACAGTCTCAGGCAGGTCCTTCAGGAAATATTCCAAAACTCATTGTTATCATATGAGAGGACAGACTCTTGCATGTTTTTGACCCTGAAGACCTTCCTGTGGGACAAGATGTGGAGGTGGAAGACGGTGATATGAATTCATGATTATGACCCTGTGTAGGTCTAAGCTCATGTGTGTGTGTGTCTTAGTTTTTAATAAAAATTCTAAATGTAAAATTCAAATCAATTAATTGAAAATAAACAGGTTATAGATTAAGGATATAAAGAAAGAAAATATTGTTGTACAGCTTAAGTTTTAAGCTATGTGTGATCACAAAAGTATCAAAAGTTTTAAAAATTAAAAGTTTATAAAGTAAAAACATTAGAGTAAGCTAAGTTTAATTTATTATTAAAGAAAAAACTTTTAAATTTACTGTAGCCTAAGTTCACAGTATTTACAAGTCTATAATAGCATATAGTCATGTTCTAGGCCTTCACATTCACTCACCACTCACTCACAGGCTCATTCAAATCAACTTATAGTACTGTTAGCTCCATCCATGGGAGGTACCCTATGCAGGTTTACCATTTTTTATCTTTTATACCATGTTTTTACTGTATTTTTTCTGTGTTTAGATATGCAAATATTTACCACTGTATTTCATTTGCCTATAGTATTCAGTACAGTAACATGCTGAACAGGTTTGTAAGCTAGGCGTAATAGGCCTCACCACACAGTCTGAGTGTGTAGTAGGATATACCATCTAGGTTCATGTATAAAAATGAATCACCTAACAACACATTTCTAAGAAGCTGTAACTATTGTTGAGTCACCTGACTATACTATGACATAAAAGGTATTTTGCAGTAAAGAGATCCCTTAAAACACCTTCAATTATACAGAGGAAAAGGAAGTTTTAACACTGTATTTGAAAAGTAATTATGTAACCATACAGAAAAAGAAGTTTTAAGACAGTGTTTGAAAATAGTTATGTAAAATAAGTTTGCAGCTTCTTCAACGTCAAAGCTCACTTATAATCACCCAATCCACCATATGTGTCCATTTTATACCCTGAAATTGGCTTCATGAATTTCTCGAGAAATCTCCCACAATCATGATTATTGTGTGAATCATTACTAATATAAACTATAAATATTTAAATTATGTCTGCTTTTATACCAAACATGTTTACTATTTACATATGAGAGATTTGGATAGGAAAATATTTGTTAATACTGGAAAAGAATTGGTGATCCCTAGAAGCCCAGAGGACTAGTTTCCTCTTGGGAGATGCGATTATTGTCATCAGCAGTCTCCTCTAAAGGCGAAGAGATTTTGGTAAAGGCATTACATACATGGAAAATTATTTCATGTGCTTTCAACCAACAGAATTTAATTAAATTTGGTTGATATGTTTTGTATTTTTAAGCCAAACCCTCAGAATTTTCTACTGTTATTGACAGCATCAGCAGACAAGACACAAAAGTTTTGGGAACAGGAAGTGTAGTCATTATAATTAAACTTGAGGGATAAAAAAAGTCAATGTAACAAGAAAATGGGGTTTGAATTATTTTTCTCTGCTAGTGTTATTAAAGATTCCGCTTTTCAATAATAAAATTCATTTCTTGAAATGTTAATACCATAGAAAAAATAATACATGATTGTATTTCAAAATGCAGAATATTTTATCACACCTCTCTAGAGAAGTCCTTTCTTTCTTTTTGTCAAGAGTCCCACTCTGTCACCCAGGCTGTAGTGAAGTGGCATGATCTCGGCTCACCACAACTGCTGCACTCCAGGTTCTAGCTATTCTTCTGCCTCAGCCTTCCTAGTAGTTGATTGATTACAGGCACACACCACCATGCCTGGCTAATTTTTGTATTTTTAGTAGAGATGGGGTTTCACCATGTTGTTCAGGCTGGTCTCAAACCTCTGATCTCAAGTAGTCTGCCTGCCTCAGCCTCCCAAAGTGCTGGGATTACAGACATGAGCCATTGTGCCCAGTCAGTTCTTTCCTTTTACCTTGCATTCCTGTAAGAGGGCCTAAGCCTCAGGCTGTGTGGGAGTACAGAAATTCCTAAGATGACTCATACACATGAGGGTCTCCCCTCAGCTGTTCCATCATTGATAAACTTGTTTCTCCGTCTTACATTTTCTCAGCTTCTATTATTAACCCTGAAGCCATGGAGGTGGAGACAGCTTCATTTCATTTCAGGCTCCAAAAGTCTTCCTGGGCTGGGGGTATCTTCTAAGTCCATGGTAGTAAATACCACCTTTACACTGACAATTCCCATATCTGTCTCTTTTTAGGTAAAACTCCTCTCCTGAACTTAAGCCTCATACATTTAACTGCCTCTAAGGACCTCAAATTCACCATATCCAGATCAGCTTATTATGTTCTCTTGAACACAAACATGCTTTTTCACAGTTATCACAATAGTTGAACTACTATTCACCCAGTTTCCCAAGACAGAAAACTAGTAAGTTTGGCTTGTCTCCCTCCCTCTCCATCATCTCCCTATATTCAATCAATTCTTCATTTCAGTTTTATTCAGCAATCTTATTTGCCTACAATTTGCCAGATTGTCTTCATACTCAAATGGGAGGACACCGTATTTTTGTGGATTATTGTCATATCTCCTTAACTGAGATTGCTTTTCCATTTTCAACCCTATGCACCTAATATGTTTCTTAGGCACATTGATCCTTAAAAAATGTAATGCTGACCACAATCATCTGGTAAAGCACTTCAATAATTCCCTATTGCTGTTAAGGTGAAGTCCAAGCTCTACATGGTTTTCTCAGTCTAAGTGTTCCTACAGAGCCATCAGCTTCAGCTTCCCCATTGCACTCCATTTATTCCCCTCTCCCAACCTTAACTGTCTAATTTATTAATCGGACCTCAGCTTAGATATCACTTTCCTTGAAAGCGTTCCTAAGTGCTTCACTGGCATAATGTATATCCCCTATCTTGGCACTTATAGCACTATAATGCAATTACACGTGTCTTTATTTAACAAAGATTTATTGAGTGTCCATTGTATATGCCAAATGTTATTTTAGATGCTGGAAGTATAGCAGTGAACAAAACAGACAAGTTATCACTCTCGTGGGCTTATATTTCAACAAACACTATTGAATTAAGAAAGACATACATGTTGGAGTGTTATGAAGTATGGAGAGGGTAATGTGATAGAGTGTTATTAGGGCAACAAGAAATCTTTAGTTCAAAGTAATCAGGGAAGGCATCTCTGACAAGCCAACAGGGGAGCTGAGACATGAGAAAAATCATGTGAGTTTCTGAGGAAGAGGATTCTAGTTAGTAGAATACACACAAAGACACTAAGATAGAAAGGATCTTGGCATAATCTCAGACACGGAAAGGACCATCAAGAGAAAGAGTGATAGAATGAGGGCAAAGTGGTGAAGTGAGTGGCAGGGTGGCACAATCATGGGGGACATGGACTCTCTGATATAGGCTTGGGGTTTGATTTTGTGTGGAATGGAAGCCACAGAGAGATTTGAATAGAGCTGTGATATGAACTGACTTAGAAGGATCATTCCATCTGCTATGTGGATAAAAGACTGTAAGAAACAGGGTAGGGGAAATAGAGACCATTTAGAAGACTGTAGCAGTTAATAGTTCTGGCAAGAGATGATAGTGCCTGGGACTACTGTGCAGTATTGGAGACAGACAGTAGAAAGTGGATGTTTTTGGAACATATTTTAAAATTAAAGTGCAGATGAAGTTGATATAGGCTATGAGACAGTCAAGGATCATACCATACTTTGCCTGAGCAAGTAGCAAAGTACAGTGATCATTATGTAGTCCTCCCTTTTCCACAGGTGATATGTTAGAAGACCCCCCA